ATCAAAGTTCATATCTTGAATAAAATTAAACTCATAATAAATTAATTTAAATGTAAACGTGTTAATAACACGTAAGAGTATAAAATACATGACTGGAAGGATTAGGTAATAAACCAGGCCGGAATGAGCCATGCCCTGATTGGTCTTAAATAACGGATGTATACCATTCTGTTTAAGTGATATACTTTCTGCAGGAGAAATAGAAACACATGCATGATATATAGAGTACATTTTAATTCTCAGATTTTATTTTAAATCTGTACATGAAATAGAATGCAAATTATGTGACAGTTTCTATGGTGTAAATATAGCTCTCACCGAAATTTGGCAGTGAGGACAGTAATTGTGATATTTTAGGATTCCAGCTCATCCAATACCACTATCAAACTCATCTGAAAATATAGAATATTTTCTTCACTTCATAAAGCTTCAGAAAAATTATAAAAAAAACTTTGGTAATCCTAATTTAAGCTGAGGTGATTTACGAAAATTTTGGTTAATCACGCGGTAATAATAATAATAATAATAATAATAATAATAATAATAATAATAATAATAATAATAATAATAATAATAATAATAATAATAATAATAAGAAGAAGAAGAAGAAGAAGAAGAAGAAGAAGAAGAAGAAGACGATGATAATGATGAAGACGAAAGAGAAAAAGAAGGATTAAGTCGACTGCAACCTATTATCATCATCAGGTTATATGTTTCGTACATTTTCAAAGGTATATGACATTTTGTTCACCCTTACATCGCATCTAAATTGTCACGTTTTTTTTTTTACCGAAATGTTCCAACTAAAGATCACCAGGAACTTGTATATACGCATTGTACAGAGCAGTTATACATATTACACAGCTAAACTTTGTCACATCATTGATTATAAAAGATGTAATGAAATATAAAGAAAGCAGAATTATTAAATAAAGCAGTGTATAATAAAATGATGATTATATATTGATTATTATTATACGCTCATGTTTCTTGCGTTAACTTTACATTGTCAGAATCTTTGAATATTTTACGATATTGCACTCCCGTGTGACTCAGGTGTAACTCACGTGCACTTCATATTGCGCTCACATGTGCACAATAGTGCATTAGTAACTACTTTGCAAACAAATCATGTACACTCTCGTAGTAGACGCTTTACGTTTTTGTTGATTAAATATGTTTCTGAATGAACTAAAGTAGATGTTTCGTGGACTGCCACATACCAGCTACTTTGCTATATGCCGCGTTAACCTTTTTGATGCATGGTCCTTACGAATAATAGGTAACAGAGAAAAAACTTAAACTGTCGTCTTTAGCTGGTAATAAGAATGGTAAAATAAATATATTTACAGTTTTACATCCTGAATTTCCTCAAAATGTAGTCTCAGTTCTGCAAATCCAAATTACATGAGCCATGCCATGAATTCTCAAGCTTGATTACACATTTCGAAATTGTACTACAATTTTGACAATATTCCAAGTGCAGTTACACCCCTTTACTGCACTATAATAAAATAAACATTCTATTCCATATTGTCGTTTAGATAATTACAAGTGAAAGACTTCATATTGTTCCCTTATTATATGATTTCAAATATTCAATAACAACAGAAACACGCTTGCAGATGTCAACACGCTGCTGAAATCCAATGTTCCTCATGTCCAATTGGCATAATCACGGAATTTTCAGTTACTTTTTTTTCCTTGTAGTGTTGTTTTGTTTATATAATGAAGCCTTGGGTAGAATAAAAAAAATGAACATACAGTTAAAATGTGACAAATCAATATTGTAATACTGATATTTATAGGTTGCTGCATTTGTATGGGAAAATATAAACTCGTTTTGTCGGATGGATATACTGCACTCTCAAGGACGTGCAGTATTTCCATCCGAAAAACTCATTCATACATTCCCATAAAAATGCAGCAACCTATAAATATCAGTATTACAATATTGATTTGTAATGATCTGTACAATATTGATTTCTATTAAACATGCAATATTTATTTGTACTGATATGTACAATATTGATTCTAATGACCTTGTCTATGTTGTGTTAAAAACCCGAATCTGAATCGATACTTCGGTGTCTCGTTTCAGTTGGTCATAAGCTCGTACAATAAATCCATAAAAATGAACAGATATTTATCAGTGTTCGATAATAACAATGTATGCATATATGCTTCTAACGAGTCTAAATGCTAAATCATATCCACATTTTAATCGTATCTTTCACACCAATCTTTCAAATTTCCCTAAATTTCCTTTTTAGACCTAAGGTATCCATTCAAGGAAATCTTGGTCGATTCCCGACCACCAGTTTATCTCATGCACAGCATGATATGACAACAAAACCATGAGGATTGACTTTCAATTTTGCGTGTATGTAAATTATGATGTAGAGATGTAAATTTGTTTCAAGTTTTGAATCTTAGAATATGGTTAGATCCATTCTTCACGTTCCTTTGTTATCTTCGAAAACAGAATATAATTTTGAGATTTAGTGCCATAATTTATCGTTAAACAAAGAATAGACTATCTTACAGAATATAACAAACTTTAGATATTATTTATATGCATGTATGTTACCTCTCCTGCATAATACTAGATAGAAATTTTATTCAAGCGAAAAGGAAGTGCAAAATCTTCACATTGAGCAATTTTATTTCTTCTCGGAGCTAAAACATTAATAAGATGCAGTGGTCAAATGACATTTTTGTGGAGTTTTCATACATTTATTTACAAAAGAGATAAGCTCAATTAGTTGGACAACTAAATATTTCGCTTGCATTGTAAGTTGCACTCAAGAATAATTGACAAGTTCCACTTACGTTTCTCTCATAACATTTTACGGTGTACCAGAGAGACAGGTGGCTTTAATTATCAATTAAGACGCATATCGCAATTAATTTTCCTTTATGGTTTATACATTAGCTTATCAATACTGAACTTTCCACTGTGTTCCAATCGATACAAATCGTATGGTAGTCTAAAATACCTTCAAGACGACTTCAAGGTAAAGTTCTTGACATAGGTCTAACGGCATTTCTTTTTGACAAGCTGGACTGTTAAGAAAGAAATGCGTAATGGAACAAGGATTTCACTTTCGGATCATCACCAAGACATCAGTACTTACTGAGCAATGTCGCTGTAACACACAGACAACCAAACTGTAGGCTCATATTCTAACAAACAAACAAACAATTACCTTTAAATCCATACCAAGAATGCCGAAATCTAATTCTTGTATCACCAACAAAGAGGAGACAGGAAAAGATTATCTAAAACTAGACTGAAACTACATTCGTGGGTACTGAACGAGGAATATTAATTAACCAGAACTAAGAATTGTGATCTGATTCCTGTTATAATATTGTGTTATCAGTGAACTCTGTCTTTTCCAACGAGTATTAATCCAAGGATCATAACTCCTTATATTCTAACTGACAACGAAGAAATCTTCATATTAAGCGTGATTATGCAAAAGGTCCTCATATTCAGCGTGACTATGCTAAAGGTTCTCATATTCAACATAACTATGTAAAAAGTTTAATAGAGAAAAAAAAAAGTTTTGTCGGAGGGTGGTGGGATGGGGGTTGAAGGTTTGGGGTAGGAGTATGGGCAATTGTTCATTCAAAAGCAAAGTCTGGGTCAAAATGGGGTATAGTTGTTCTTAACATATTATAATTGTTAAGATCTATTTCGATAATTTATTAGTCACAATATGTGCCGGATACAACAATATGGCATAAAATAATGGCACTAAATAGTCATAATGGTACAACAATTGCATTATAGTTCCATGTTAGGATAAACACTTTATTGTTGCCTTTTGACCTTGGATGCTGTAGAAGAAATCTTCATGACGAATTGAATGAGATCTTACTAGGAAAATCCAGGTGAGACAATTCCTGATTGGCTACCTGTTAAAGTACTTGAACGTATTGAAAAGATTTACTTCAAGATGGTTATTTTGAAACTGCGTCTTAGCGTTTCATATAACGGATAACCTACTGCACATTTTGTATTCATAGCATAAACTTCAGTCTAAGATGCGACATGTATATGTGATCATTTGAGTGGATTTATTTTGTTTTAATCTCAGTTATTCATTGGAATTACAGATTGCTCAAATATTTTGATTGAGAAATTATTTTTGATTTACTGTGAATTCATTTAAAGATATTCTGAATTACATCATTTTGATACATCAAGTCTGTTAGCACATTTAGCTAACGATTTTATCATATTTTTCAATAATAAACTATCTGCACCCGTTTAAATCCAGCTTTTTGACCAGCAAACCTACATCATATAAAGCCTAAATTTGGTATTCATTGTTTCCTACAAGTACCCATATTTGAGTACCTGAACTTGTCTTTCATTAAAAATTTGACGAAAGTCTGGCAGGCTAAACTTATTTAATTTCATATCAAACAATAGTTTTCAATTCTTAAACTGCGCATTAATTCGAGTTCATAATTTCGAATTCAAACGCAGTTCTTATCATTGAGCTATATACTTGAGGGCATCTGACAAACACTAAAGCTAACAATACTGATTTAATGCAAACTAAGCACGCCTGGATTCTGCTTTTAACAACACATGACATCAAAAGTAAAATGTAGCGATTCGCAATTTGGTTAAAAATTCACCCTGTATAAAACGAAAAACACTGGAGTGATACCTTAAAGGTTCTTAATCTGTGAAATTGTTTTTTTTTTTTAACTCTATTGGTCAATCCTGTAAAACAGGATGTCATATGATTTGATTTTTTAAAGTAGGTTTAACAACTTTTCAGTCATATACGATGTATGCAGTGTGGCAGTTTATAGTGATGTCTCGCACTGGTGCTTGATGCCGCAGACATGCGACATGATTTCCCACACAGTCACATTATCCTGACACCAGGCCGATCAGTCCTAAAACTATAGTCTTAATGCTGAGTGCTGAGTGCTAAGCGAGGCAGCTGTTAGTACAAGTTTGTAAGTCTTTGGTATGACTCAGTCGGGGATCGAACCCTCGACCTCCCGCATCCCAGGCGGACGCTCTAACCACTAGGCCACATAAGCGGTTCCTGTTAACCAGGATAAAAAGGCATACAAATTTACTTAACTTTGGAGAAAATTTTATTCCTGAAAAACATAATAGTAGATCCAGTGAATTTTGTGGAATGTAGGCATTTTGCACCGAAAAAAAAATCAAAAGTAAAATACGTTCCTGAGATTAACGAAAATGCTTGGATTGGACATGATATGACAAATCTTTGATGAAACGTTTATCGCCAGGTAATGTGTTTGTAAGAAAAATAATTAATTAACTAGGTGCGAGTAATAAATGACAATGATTTCGTATTAAAATCTGATCAGTATGACGTTTCATATCATCGTTTGGTAATTCTTTTTCATCCTATCTTTCATCAAGCTGTTTGGCCATTTATTCATTGCCTGATGATTACGATAATATACCAGTTACAGTAAACAAAAGCTGAGAGAGAGAGAGAGAGAGAGAGAGAGAGAGAGAGAGAGAGAGAGAGAGAGAGAGAGAGAGAGAGAGAGAGAGAGAGAGAGAGAGAGAGAGAGAGAGAGGTGCATTACTTGTAGACAAGTAAGTGACGAAATTTGACCTTAAATAATGTGACCGGATTATGTTACTTATTGACAATTTGTACCAGAAATAAACACACTTAAAATCGTACTCTTTTATTTATATTCCTATCGTCTCGAGTGATAATCTTCAAGTTAATCTCGTGTCGCGCGCTTAGGTGTATTTTGTGTTCTATTGAGTATGGAATGAATTTAAAAAACAACACATTTAAGCATTATCGTCACATCAACATTGAAATAAATAGGATTTTCACGTTCTGCCTTTTCAACAAGAAGGATGGATCATGAGGTATGGGTTGCTATTGGCAATGGGTAAACATTTATCGCACACTCCTTACGGAAGTATGCATGTGTATTATCTCGTGGAAAAAAAACAACAGGTAATTTAATGTCTGCATTTCATAGCATATATATAATTACTATCAGAACCACCACCATCACTACGTCTGCTATGAAAAGTAGTAACACATGGTGAGAACTGAAGTTGTAGTAGCAGTAGTAGCAATTGTCTCCTATCTTGAATATTAACAATTAAAATAACAAATTAAATGTTTATTACCCTGCATTTGTACGTAGAACTCGTGTGTTTATTAATCGCTTACTCATTGCTCACCACTTCGGTAGCCTAAATGGTTAAAGCGTCCGCCTCAGGTGTTGAAAGTAGCTGGTGGGAACCCTGGCTGAGTAATGCCAAAGATTTATAAAGTGGTACTAGCAGTTGTCTCGTTTGGCACTCATCATTAAGAAGTTATTATGAGTGGTCGGACTGGTGCCAGGATAATGTGACTGTATTGGTCAAACGGGCTTTCTTATTTTGCTATTAGCGTCAATCCAATTCATACATCAAAAATAAATGTACAATAAAATATTGGATAAGAGAATAAAATTAAATAAAGTCAAGGACAATTGCAATAATCATATACTTTGTGAAAAAAGAAAGTGGTGGTGAGTAGGTTTTGGTAAAAGTTATTTTTGTTATAACCAACCATCTAAGTTCTCACCATGTGAGTCATTACTTCGAGAAACATTGCCATATGAGAGCATCCTTCTGAATTCTGAGAGATACTTGCAAAAAAATTTAGCGAGAGCACGATAAAGACACTATACTCTGGAGAAATAAGCTAAGTTAAAACCTGGAGAACAACACAAGACTTCCTTTCTATAGGCTGAATTTAATGGAGCAAAAGGCGCGAAGATGTTGAAATATGAAAAAGGAAAAGTAGCTTCAGCGGTAAAGTAACGTGTGAAAAACACTTAATACCGGATCATTCAGGCTATTGATCTAATCAAATGTAAGGCCTGCTTTTACAGTAATATATACCATTTTTGATTCATGCTACAATTCTTAGTTCACTCATCACAATATTAGGAATTTCGTTTTATAATTTTTGTGAGAAATATTTTTTTTAAAATTCGCGTTGCTATCACATTTATTACAGATAAGTAACTGAAATCAGAGTAAGCACTTGTCCAGACTGGTTCTGGAATAATTGCACGCTGTAGCTTTAGTTTAGTTTAGTTAATTCCACCACAGTAAACAGTCATGGTCCGCCATTAACTGTTAAATACATTCATGCAAGTAAACATTTTACGCCTGTGCTTGCTTTTCCTGTACACCATTTGGGGAAAATATTTTATTAAATATAATGATTCCGCACCACTAAGCCATCCGTGTTGCTTAGCAATAGTAATAAATCAACACTGTACCATGCGCAACTCGCCGTGGAGAGTCGAATCTGTTGCAAGACTTTGCTCCAATAAGACAAATTAACAACACTGTCAGGAATGAGTTGCCGATTCCTGGACGCATATTCGAAAGAAGCTCAACAGTGTGTCTGCTTGGTTTGTATAGGTTTATAACGACTGCCCAATAATCTTGAAGATCATGGGAACGCTTGCTATTCTGGATTATTCAATGATCATGAACCGCCGTCTCATCGGCAATAGCACGTGCGATACAAAAATGGTGTCGTTCATCCGGTCAAGATTGCGATTTCAGCCCGTGTGGACATTGGAGGAATCTTAGCTCCATAATGATCCCACTGCTTCTTTTCCAATACATGGAAACTTTAGATCGATGAACAAACATGTTACAAAGACTTAAATAAATTAAGATCTTAGAAAAGCTCAATACGAAGCGAGATCCACGGATGTTAAAGAGGTGATTTTGCATGTGATGGCAGGCATTATTTCCAGTCTGAAGACCACATTTCGAGTTTGAACCGTAGTGGTTCAGTTGTTAGTCTGTCGGACACAGAAGCGGGAGGGTTCAAATCCTGCCATCTGATCACGCTTGTGTCGGTTTTCTTAGTATTTCCCTGAACAAGTCTCTCTACTTGCCCCGGCATGATAGGGCCTCCTTGTACCGACTTACGGTAAAATACGAAACCAATAGAAACCAAGCAAACTTGAATATTAGCTTATATTTTGAAGATATCGGACTGGTTCCGTGCAGATAAACTAAGCTATCATACCTTTTCTTTGCAGGGCTTGTTTCCACTCTACTTCTTAACATAGAAAATGTATAAATAGTTTGATCCAAACAAGAAAATTTCATTGTAAGGTAGTTTTGTTTTTATCTTCTGCCTTACAACACTATATTAAACATTCGCCATTAGCATTTTATATGAATGTTGAGGATGTTCAGTAATTTCTCAGTAGGGCAATTCAAAATCGATGCAATACATTTCTACATAGTCTAGTGATGTAATTAAGACCTTGAACTCAGCAATTATTCGAGGGCACGTCTTATTCACCTCCTAGCTATTACTAGTTTAAACATGTTATTGGTAATGCATCTGGCAACCAAAGGGTATCTTACTTAGCCATCAACAAAAATAAATAACACAATGCAAGACTTGTATCGTAGATAAATGTGTGCGGTCTTAAATTTCACATTTAGAATTAAATGTTATCTATTGAGCTTCATGCACGTAAAACTATAAACTTACAACATTATCTTGTTTTTTTTTTAAGTATCGTGTTCCAAGCTACAACCCAGCCCAAGTACGAGCGAACTCAATATACACTTGGAATGGCGGACGACAGACTCGTCTGCTTCAAACTTTCAGAGACGGCATACTTATCTGGGTCAAACTTTCAGATCTTCATTATTTTTTAAGTCATTCGTTACAATCATCTTCTGTGTTTATCTGTTGACTGGTGTGGCGTCATTTTTAAAATCTTTATATTCGCTCTGGTTAAACGATTGGACTATGGTAAATCTTGTAAAAATACAAAATTTATTTCAAGTACGTACTTGTGAATCTAATATTGTGCTTTTGTGGGAATTATTGAGAGAGAGAGAGAGAGAGAGAGAGAGAGAGAGAGAGAGAGAGAGAGAGAGAGAGAGAGAGAGAGAGAGAGAGAGAGAGAGAGAGAGAGAGAGAGAGAGAGAGAGAGAGAGAGAGAGAGAGATTATACTAGTATCTGCCCAGATGGATTGGTGCGACAGTGTTTTATTAAATCCTTACTTTTCCAGTTAGGAGGGCTGTGCAATCGATAGTCTACATAACGAAGAGTAACGGAATGAAGAGACGTCAGAGAACCAGACTATGCAATGGATAAACTATTTGTTTATGCCAGGTATGCAATTGATTTGCCGCACCCAGAAAATAGATGTTAAAGTCGCACAGCTAGGAAATAGAAGAAGTCTTAATAGCTGGGCGTATAGCTACAAATGCTAGCGTGCATTATAAATAAACATAACCAACACAACAACATTTACGCAGTAAACTAAAAGCTCGAACAAAGTATCAATGACCACTTTCCAATTCCATTGAATAAATGAGTCGTCTCAAATATTGTCTGAACACAACAGAAAATGTCTTCTACTGAACTTAAAACGGAACGAATGATTTTGTTTATCTTAACATTATATAAAAACGTAAGACAATAAAATGACCACGATGTTGCTCACATGTTCGCTTCCACAACAGTCTAAACTTTGCAAATAATGTCAGACATTGACTTTAAACATCAGTAAGCAACTTTTTTTAACCTATCATCATGCGAAAATCAAGTATCAGGTATCACAAAATAGAAATATCGTCAATCATGTGCAATATAATTTTTGACAAAGGTCAATAACACACTACAGATGCAATTCACATACAATCACAGTGACCTACTTTTCAAATATTGTCTTAAAATTTGATAGTTATGTTTTACAGTTTAAAGTCACACACAAAAGGTACCTGTTGATAGAAGGGAGATAACTTTTCATGCACTGATGAATATTTAAAATTTTGAGCATTGACATATGGTTTTCATTTTCTTACACTCTGTTACAGGTATGAGCATTTATCACTTACGTTAGCAACCATAAAAAATAAATTGGTCTTATAATTACATAGGTGTTTTGCTAAAGGAATATGTTAGGATTTATGGAGTATGTGCAGGTAATACAGATGAGAAAATTATTTAGAAATATTTTTGACATTCGTATAAATCATAAATCTGAAAGA